CATGGAAATAAATTGCTCTGCAGGTCATGTGACAACATTTAAAGACTACCTTCCTAAACTCTAATGGCATGTACAGGACAAAATTACACTGGACTGAAGGAAATGCAAAGGATGTAAATATATTGCTGTAGATGTCAGCATCTCTCACACTTAAACTCATTATACTCTCTTTTTCTGCAAACACCTCTTGGAAGTTTATTCCAAGCAATATCCAGCAAAGTAATAGTATATAATGTATGTTACATACATTATAAAAATGTATAATATATTTGGATTACTGTAATGGATCCCAAAATTCATATGCATATCATACTGACAAGTCAGACGGTAAGCCTCCAGAGAAAGGGCTTGTCTGCTGACACACAGGGGTGGGAGACAGATTTTTCACTGTTTATGTAAATGTATGTATTCAAAAAATGAATTAAACTATTTTTGTTTGTTTAATTTTCTTTGAGCAAAATTTCTCAGAGGTCTAATAACATTTAAAATTGGTTGGAATCCTAAGCCTGAAACCAATGTCATTGTTTCGGCAACTTTCCTTTTAGGAGAGGACATGACAGTTTATCTTTTTCATTAAGTAAATGATATGTAATTACCTAACAAAACAAAGATTTTAAGTTTGCTGACTGTATTTATTTTTTCAACACAATTCAAATGAATTTTAATCGTACTCCTATGTACAGAAAACACATAAACATTTCAAATGATTCACCTGAATTTTTACCAATGAAGCTATGCACTGATTAAATCTTCTAACAAATGATATTTAAGCCCTGCAGATGTGTGTCGGATGAGTTGTCAAATATCTGATGATCTGAGTGCAAGTTTCCCTAAGTGTGTTCCCCATCGACTAAACTTCTGAGAACTCCCAATGCTGACTCTATAGCACACTTTCTCCAAAATAAAACAATTTTAAACCTAAAATATTTCAAAACACTAAGAAAATTGAGTATCATCCAGCCTAAAATTCAAGCAGAAGGAAAAATAGAAGTTCCTAAACTTAGCAATATTATATGTAATGCTGAATCAAAACAAAATCCATTGTAAGATATGCTTAGAAGATTTAAGACAAAATGTTATCTTTTTACCCTGGGTTGTCATGTTCTGCTCTAGACTTTAAACCACAAAGTTAGCATAATAACGATATTCTTTTTTTTTCAAATGCTATTTTGTTATTTATAATGTAATGCATGTATTGATGGTGGAATATTATTAGGAACATCAATCCAGGGGCTTATCGGACACCTGGGGAAGAGACTGGGGTGCTGGCCTCGTTGAGGGTCGTGGAAGTCTTCCTGGAGAAGGATGTCGAAAATGAGGAGTTTGCTAGGGGAACAACAAAGGGAGAATGTTCTAGGCAAAGAAATCAACATGTGAGAAGACTCAGCAGTGAAGGAAAGATTTTAAGGAATTGAATGAGGATTAATGTGACTGAACCAGGAAGAATGATGTAACCAATGTCCCATAATAAAGTGGTCAGGGGCTCCTGATTCCTGGGGACAAAACTCCTGCCCTCCAGAAGTGTGATGGGGGTGACAGCAAGGCAGGCAAGTGACCAGTGTATAGGGAAGTATAATACAAAGTACCCAGACAGATTCCAAGCAGAGGAGTGATGGATCAGATCTGCTTCAGAAAGATTTCTCTGGCGATGGGAGGTCAAGAATTACCCAAGGAGGGGGGGCAGCTGTTTCATTTGACAGTGATGGTGCAGAGCCCCTTGACAGTGATAGGTGGAGAGATGAAAGACAGGGAAATGAATTAGGAAGCAGTAAAAATGGTCCAGGAACAATGACAACAAGGGCAGTCTCGCTGCAATGGGAATCAGGAGGAAGGAAGGGCTGATAACCCTTTTTGGAAATGGAGTTGACAAGCCTCCGACAGGCCCCTCCCCTCCCTTTGTGGCATTCTCATTGGAGTTCACTGAGGCATACATCAGCAGCTCATCTTTCCCACAGGTCTTTTTTGATGGGCTTTCATGGGGATTTGCCCTTGTGGGTGCATTTGACTGCAGGAGTATTTTTTTGTTTCATTCTGTAGCAGGAGGCAAATACTGTTGCTAAGTGGAGAGACTGAATCCATGCGCCTGGACCAATGAAAACTTCCGTGAGCATCGTGCTGGGAGCTCCCTGTAAAGCCAGTCAGGTTCCGAACAAAACCTCAGAACAAAGAGTTAACTGCCCTGCTCTTTGTTCCATTTGATGTCATTTTACAACCATTTTCAGTCACTGGAGTAGGGAGCTTTGAGACTTGATTAGAAAACAGCCCCTGTGAAATTGTGAAGTTCCTGTTACAATTGAAGATGGATTGTACACCCAGACTTGACGCGCATTGTCTCTAATACAACAGATTTGCATGTTTACAAATATAGAAACCGAGGGTCCTAAAGGTTAAGATACTTGCCAGTGGGCTGATAAGGGTTGATTCAGGACCGGCTCCAGCTCTGGTCGGTCTCTTCCTTTTTCCCACCCCTTCCAGCATCTTTCCGTCTCTCCAACACTCCTGCATTTGTCCTGATCGCAGTGTCATAAAAAGTGTACTGATCTGGCAAGTGAAAGACCAGCTCTGCTAGAGACCATCTTTTTGATCTTAAGCAAGTCACTTCCCTCTCTGTTCTCGGTTGCTTCCCCTGTGAAGTGAGTTTTACTAACTGATTGATCCCCAGGATCTCTGCCCACTTTAAGGTTCTGTGACGCAGGCAATTACATACGGAAAACTAACGGGGATCAGTCCTTGCTGCCACCATCTCTCCTCTGCCATCTTTATACACGCCTCTCCTTCCTCCAACTCTCGAGAGGGTATGTATGCTAGAGACATGGAGATAGCCTTGGACACAGGCAATGTCTAGGCCACCCTGCAATCTTACGTTTCCCAAGTCAGTCTCCTGTACTGTCCCCCACCCATAAAACAGCATTGTATAAATGTTTACTGACTGCCTGCTATGTCTCCCAAATCTTCCATCCGACCACCTCCCCTTAATCTCAGCAGGTGACCTTGGCTCCACTAAGCATGAACTCACCCAACTTCCTGCCAAGTGACAGGTAGTGTAAATGTATGGAGGGCTGTGTCCTTGCCCTGACTCTTCACTGCCACCCCCATCCTAACCTACACCCCACTTTTACTCACCCAACCCCGTTTCTGGCTGCAGAAAATCTAGTCACCTTTCAGGAATCTTCCTTCTCAAGGATCGGCATACAAAATTAATTTTAATCAGTGGTGGTGTCAAATCCTACCTCTACCACTTCCTAGCCAGGACTTTGGGTAATTTTTGTAATTTTACTAATATTCCTGATCTGTACATTGTCCCCTCCCCATCTTTCAGTTTTGATATAAGACTTACATGAGAAAATGTATGGAGAACATTTAGGAGAATGCAAATGCTGAATTAACACCTTATCTATTAAAAGCAGCCATTCCCACCCTGGCCAGTTTGTCTCAGAGGTTAGAACGTTGGCCTGTGGACCAGAGTCCCAGGTTCGGTTCCCACTAAGGGCATGTACCTCGGTTGCAGTTTGTCCCCGGCCCCGGTCCCGGTTGTGTGGGTGGCAACCACTTGATGTGTCTCTTTCACATCGATGTTTCTCTCTCTCTCTTTGTCCCTCTCTCCCTCCTGCTCTATCTGAAGATAAATGCAAAAATGTCCTTGGGTGGGGATTAAAAAAAAGTAGCCATTCCGTGTCTGCTGAGCCTGCCTTCTCCCAGACTCTGGTTGATAAAAGCATCTTTTAACTGCTCTGGGAAACTCTCCATTCTATAACAAAATCCAATCTTCTAGAGACTTCCCCTAAATTATCCTTTATTTCAAGTCATTCATTTAGCAAACATTTACTGCACGCTTACATTTGCCAGATCCTGTACTACATGCTGGAGATATAAAGATGAGAGAATGCCTCTGTTCGTCCTCGAGAAGTTTATAGTGGAGTGGAGAGGCAACTTCCTCCACAAGCTTCCCTGCCCCACCTCAGGCTAGGTGAAACCTCTGGTCTAATTACCTGGCTCAGTCGCTGTCCTCCACCCTGTACTTACCAAATTCCATGCCTTTCTGTTTCAAACGTGTGCTTGGCCCTGCTCTAAGTAATCTATAGTCATTAATTCACTTAATCCTCACAACAACCCTATGAAGTAAGTACTGTCCTTATTCCCATTTAGCAGATGGGGAAACTGAGGCACAGAGCAATGAAGTAACTTGCTTACGGTCTTGTAAACTTAGAAGGAGTCAGAATTTGAAAGCACCTCTGGGTCCAGACTTTAATGTTCCGTGTATCTCTCTGTCTCGCCCACTGGAATTTGAGATCGAGTCTCTGCCAGCTTCAAACGAGCATCTCCTGGGCCCCACCGCGGTATCTGATATAACAGGTAATCAATAATTTATTCGTCAAATGAGAGCGCAGGGAAGCAGGGGGAGAAAGACAGCAGCGCAGAAGTGAACAATTCCACGACGAACACCTTCGAGGCATCAACTCCGGGCACGTGCCTGAGATGCGCGGGCGGAGCTCAAGACTAAATTAATGTCTCTGCCCACTCGGGACTTTCAGTGACGAGTGTCCTCAGTGTTAAGGATTCCTAGAAACCACTGCAGTTTCCCGGCCCCGTTGCCCTCCGCCCCGTCCCCTCGACCGGGGTTCCGGCTCCACCTTTTCCTTTTCCTTCGCGGTCCCCCGCGTGGGCTCCGCCGCCGGAGTTTCGCGGGCTCCGGCCTCCGGGCGGGGACGGCGCGCGGGGCGTGTCCGCGGCGGCGGGCGTGCGCACTGGCGCGGCGCACTGCGCATGCGGGAAGATGGCGGCCGCGGCGCCTGGGAGTCGGGGGTGACCCTGCGCTCCTCCGGTCTGCGTCGTAACTCCGCGGCTCTGGGCAGTGGCGCGTGCGTGCGCGGCGTGGCCCGGGCATCTGCGCCCCCGAGCCGGCCGCCGGCTCGGCTCGTGCGTGGCTCCGGGAACGGCGCGTTGGGGGCGGCGTCCGGCCCGACCGGACGGCGGGAGAGCTCGCGGGGGGCGAGGGCGAGGGGCGGCGGGCTGGGCAGCATGAGTCAGCAGCGGCCGGCGCGGAAACTGCCCAGCCTGCTCGTGGACCCGGCCGAGGAGGCGGTGCGCCGCCGGTGCCGAGACCCCATCAACGTGGAGGGCCTGCTGGTAAGTCCCCGGGGCGGCCTGGGTCCGGGGGGGGGGGTCGGGTCTCAGGCTCAGCCGCCTCTGCCCGTCCGCGGGGAAACTGCACTGCCTTCCGGATCGGGACCCCCCTCTGGGCTGGGCCCGTGGCTGCCCCTTCGCCCTCTGCTCTGCGCTGCCCACGATGTACCGGAGACCAAGCCGGTCGTTCGCTTCAGTTTTGCCCTCTTTCAGCACGTGCCTTCAAACGTGTTGTCAGCCTGCTTGGCTTTTATCTCGGGGCTACAGAGCGGTGGGGAAAATTGCTCAACTTTGGGTGGAAAATCTTGTTTTCCTACTTCTACTCACCTTCAGTCTATCTCTGCGATCTCATTTTTCTCTTTCGCAACCTCTCCCGTTCTCCTGCTTAACTGCAACCATTGAAAAGCTTTCGACGCCTCCCGTTTCCCACCCCGCATTCAGCACATGTATCTTGCGTCCTGTTTGATAGAGAAAAATGGGCTCCCTTCCTGCAGGAGGTTAATTTTCTTTCCACTCTAGACCTGATGTGATATGTTCTCTTTGGTTCTCAGGGTTGCTGATGACTCCATCATTTGCCATTTCTCTGCTGGTTTCTTCCCATAACTAGTCAGTCAGTATGCCCAGGTCCCCGTGGGGACTGGGTGCTCAAAAATAGTGACATTATCTTATTTAATTCCTCACAGCAGTCCCAAGAGATTATTATTGTTCTTGTTTTACAGTTGCCAAAATAGACCTGGAGATGTTAGGTGGCTTGCCCATGGTTAGACAGTACATAGAAAAACCTGGATTTCACTTTACAGTGTCTGATTCTAGATGATAAATTCTTGGCTACTCAAACTGCATCCTAAATTCATCCCCATCTTTTAAGCTACTGCATCTCTTCCTTCTAGCTACTGCCCCCCTTCCCCTTCACAGCCAAACTTTTGGGGGGAAAAACTGTTCACATTCACTGTGTCCACTGCTCACTTCTCATTACTACCTTAAGCCACTGCTGGGGGGGACAGGGGGGGGACGGACTCTGCCTTGAGACTGTTCTAACCAAGGTTGCAGGCAACATTGTTGGTTCCAGAGGATGTTTCACTCCTTATCTCTAGTTTTGACAACAGTTGACTACTTGCTTTAGTTGGAAACTCTCACCATTGAATGGCTCTTTCTTTACATATTTTTCCATTTATCTTCAGATAGAGTTGGAGGGCGGGAGAGGGGGAGAGAGAAAAAAGTCTACATGAGAGGGACACATCAACTCGTTTCCTCCCACACGACCTCGACCAGGGCCAGGGACAAACCACAACCAAGGTACGTCCCCTTGACCAGAATTGAACCCACAACCATTGGTCCGAGGGCCGATGCTCCAACTGCTGAGCCAACCCAGCCAGGGCTGGCTTCTTTAATAACACATACCCTGGGTGCTGCATCTACTCATCTGACCTTGTTATTCAGTGTTCTCTTGTACCTACTCAAAACATTCTTCATGTGGGATGTCATTTGCCACTCTCATGACTTCTCTTATCATCTATATCAGTGGTCTTATTGAGAATATAATAAAAGCTCTGAGTTCTCACTGTGGAAAAACAACTTACTTTTGCATTTAATATCAGAAAATACATTCCTCGAAGTCTTAGATATTCTTATCCACTGTTCATTTAAGTTGCCGTGTCATAATAATTCCCATATCTATAAATCCATCTCACAGCTGTTCATCTGTCTACTAGGTAGCTCTACTTGAATTTGAAACTCATATCTAAAATTTAATTCATTATCTTCTTGTCTGAGCCAGCAACAACTTTATTATCTCCTATCTTAAACGGTAACACACCCACCATATTACCCAAAGTCCTGTCCTAAGCGTCATCCTTGCCTTTTCTCTTTTCCAAACTGAACCGCTCCGTCTTCTCAGTCTGATTAAAATTAATCACCAGTACTTGCCCCTTCTAACCATCATCTGTTTTTTCAGATTAATGCATTGCCTTCCTAACCAGTTTCCTGCTTCTGGTTTTGCCCCAACTTTTCTATATATCTCCATACTCTTTTGGACCCTTACATATCCACATTTCTCCTTCCTAAAAAGCCTTATTTCTTTTCTTTTTAACACACTTTTACTTGTTATGTCCCATGGTTCTTCAGGTCTAGAATTTTAGGTCACTTGTCTGAAGCCTTCCCTGACCTCTCAACACTGAGTAAGCACAGCTCCTGTTTTGCTCTCAAAGCGCCCTCTGCTTACTTGCCCCCCTTTGGAATGTGTGGTTCTTAGGGCCCTGAGTGTAGAGACTGTCCATTTCATTACTACATGTCCAGCGCATTTAGTGCTTCTCACAAAAGGATTTGGTAAATAGTCATTGGGTGAATGGAGTGGCTACTCTGTAAGTGGTAAATGTTTGAATGTATGAGTGGCTGTTTTCCTGCTTATAGAATGGTGATTTGAACACATATCTCAGTGCTTTTTAATTGGCTAATGTTTGAACGTATTTAATAATTAAATACATAGAAGTGGATTGATTGTTGGTAACTCAAAGATTAGTTGTGTCTGACTGAGTGATGTTCTCTGGGTGAATGGCTTGAAAACTAGAATTTTGAGAAGGGAGAAAATAATGTTGTTGGAATTAGAGTGAAATTAGTCTACACGTTGGAAAATTTAAATGAGAAAGGTGAACACAGTGATTACTACTGGGCTCTCCCTTGGCATCCTCCCCTCAGTGAGACTTTCTTAAAAGAGGAGAAACATTGATGGTGCCCCACAGTGGTGGGATGAGAAGCAGCAACATCTGTGGTGGCACCTGGGCAAGCTAGTCTCATAAAAAGCTGAGGGAGCTTTCCTCTGAGGATTGTCTCCTAAAGATGCTGAAAAGGTAAAAAGAAAAAAAAGTGTCCTGCACAGGAACCACTTTGAAAGGCTCCCATTGGCCTAATCTGGGACCATGTGAGCCTCAAAATAACAGATTTTATACTCGTAGAAATAAGAATCCAGGCCCCTCGGGTGTCGTTCCTTAAATATAGATCCTCAAGTAAGGTTACTCCAGATCTTTGGACCTGTAACACTAAGTCACAAGTTATCTGACTCCACACACCAGTAGACTGTGCATTGGTGGGACAGGACAGGGTAACTGCTCTAGACGGTCCTGTTCACAGGGGGAGAGAATGGGAGTCAGAGCAGGGACTCGTCCACAGCAGTTCTGAAATCCAGCCTGGGAGTATCCACGCCCCTGCTCGATCCTCTGGGCTCTTGGTTCCACCATCTGAGTCTTCCTGTAGCTGAGGAGCTTACTCAGCCTCCTTCTTGGCAGAATGTTGGGCGTACGGTTTTAATGTGAACTGTCTCTGTCCTCTAGTCCAAGCTCCAGGGTTTTGGCTGCTACAGTTCCGTCAGCAACTGAATCTTGTTGTGTGTGGCTCAGTAGACAAGCCCCACCCACAGGTTTCTTCGAGAGAAGCAAAGCCTTCTCTCCCTTGGGCTTGGATCAGAGGGTCTGGAGCCTCATCCTTGAATTCTTTCAAGGACCTTTTGTGTGATGGGTGTCCTCTAAGGTACCGCATTAAGCAGAAGTCGCACAGTCCTGCCCTTTAAACTGTTCTGCGGTCCTTAAATTCGGTCTTTTTCAGAAGCCATTAATTTTTAGCTTCTGGGGACACTGAGACTTTTTTTTTAATCCTCACCCGAGGATATTTTTACATTTATCTTCAGACAGAGTGGGAGGGTGAGAGAGAGGAAGAAAGAAACATCAACGTGAGAGAGACACATTGACTGGTTGCCATCCGACCAGGACCAGGGACGAACTGTAACTGAGGTCTGTGCCTTTGACCGGAATCGAACCTGTGACTCTTTGGTCCAAGGGCCAGTGCTCTAACCGCTGAGCCAAACTGGCCAGGGCGACAGTGAGAATTTTAAAGCCACTAAGTCCTGGCCTCTTTTTGTTTAACACTTCTTTCTTCAATATATTTTACTATGAATGCAAGGAAAAATGGGGTGCCACTGTCAACCCTTTGCATGGACATGTCATTGGTTAGATTGCCCAGTCCATTGTCATCTACCTTCACTGCAGTGATGGTGTTGCCGAGTGTTCTGTCTTAGTGTGACCAGGACCCCTCCAGCGTCTAGCAGCATGTTCTCCCTTGCTGGCCGTGAGTGTCAAAGTCCAGATTGCTACTGGCCGTCTTTTTCAAGACTCCTTAGTCTTAAACAGACTTGTAGGTGATTATACTGTGGTTGTGTAAGGAAATGCCCCTGAGAAACACACTGAATGATTAGGGATCTGCAATTTACCTTCAAATGATTCAGGAAAAAATGTATGCGTGTATATAGAGAAAAACACAGTAAAGCCAATGTAGTAAAAAAATGAACGTTTGGGTGAAAGGGATGTGGCAGTTAGCACTGTTTCCGCACCTTTTCTGAAGGCTGAGAGGTTGCGCAATAGAAAGAAAATGGGGAACCCTGAGGGCCTCTGTTCCTCAGTTCGAGGGAGATTCCCTCTGCACTCCACCTCCTGGCCCCATTCGCTGTCCGCACAAGGCCGGGCAGGGTGGACGCCCCGCCATCCTTCCAGGGTGAGGTGCTGGGCCTGAGGGGCCTAAGTGCCTTGGGGCCAAGAGCAGGGTGGCGGTGCATTTTCTCGCTCGCTCTCAGAGTAGCTCACTGGCTTCTGTGTGAGGAGACATTTCTGAGTTTAAAATCACTTCGAGAGGAGCAGCCCCGTTCTGGTCCGGAAGAACCCCTAGCCTCCCTGTCGAAGGCGGTCACGGAGTTCTAGTGGCTGGACAGGCTTGCCGGGTTTCCGGCGGATCTCCCCAGTGATGAGTGTCGTATTGGAAAGTGGAACAGGAGGCTTCATGTTTTTTCAGTGATCCTTATGAATGGCGGACCCAAGAGGGAGCCTTTGCCCTGTGCCCTGTGCCCTGTGTCTGTAGATACTCCTGGTTTCCTAGTGCCAGGTTAGTTGTTGTAGAAGTCATCTATGACAACGTGCTATTTCACCCTTCATTCATGAGTTTAACATGTTTACCAAGTACCTGAATGTGCCAGGCGCTACTCTAGTTTAAAAAAAAAAAAACCCAGTGATATGTGGTTGCATAAGATTTTATAATTTACAAAACTTTTCATTTCATCCTCACATTAGCTTGGAAAATGGCCAGTAAAGTTATATCACTACACAGTGTTACAGATAAATGTTGGGATTGCCCAGCATCTAATAAGTCAGTAATTGGTAGTCCCAAACACACTCTTACACCAAGGACTAGTTGGATGTGTCATTACTGTGGACACTTTAGAAATCTCCAGAATTGTAGACCTTTGTGACTTAAAAAAAAATTGGGCTGTCTGCCCCTGAGGAGCCTTGACGCTGTTGTGATTTCTCCGAGATAAAGAGAGAGTGTTTTCATATTCAAAGAAAAAAGAGCGGCTACTGTTAGAGTCTGTTTTCCCACAGATCTCAGTATAGCCAATATGTAATACAACTGCCTTTTTAGCAAAGAATAAAAGGAAAAGAAAGTGTTGTGAGGCCTAATGGGGCGGGGGCAGAAGATGTGAGGTGGCCTGTTCAGAAGCATTAGGACTCTTCTCCGCTACTCTCAAGAATGGAAACCTATTTGCAGTAAGGCACCTATAAGCTCCGCTCTATTAACCTGTTCTGCAGTGCATTCTCGGGACTCCCTAACAATAGTTAAATTTATTCCAACCTGACAGTAATTTAAAAAGCACTGAATAGACAACTTATAAACAGACCTTAATATATGTAACAATTGAGGCTATTTGTCTATGTGTTTCAAGTCACTGTGATGAGGATGGATTTTATTTCATTCAAGAATCTAGCTACAACAGTTAGACTCTGTCTCATACTATATTAGCAGAAGGGTTGGATATAAAAATAGTAATGACAATTGGTCATACTTGCCTGATGTTTGACTTTACTAGGACTGCCCTTGAGTGTTGCATAGTGGGATACCATGTTTAAAAGTCACTGTTGTCATCACTGTTTAAGAAAGCTCACCATGGATAGTCCCTGCCCCCAAGACAAGCATTCCCAGCTCAGGTTTTACACACCCCAGCAGGTCTGTGTTTTCCTTTAAATTCTTACAAATTAATCTTACAGAAGAATTCTATTTCAGTGGAGTTATTCTATATCATTAACTTGCTAATGGATGCTGTCATCTTGTCATAGGATCAACAAGAGCTTTATGGCTGCTCACCTTATCTGCAGGCTTCCCCACCCCCCAGTCTTTTTGCTGCTTTCTCCCATACTTAACAAGCCTAACCATGAACTTAAGTATGTCATATTCTTGTCCAGAAATCTGTGATGAGTCTCACTCATTATAACATAAAGTCTAAACTCCTTTCCTAGACCTCCTTATTGAGCCTGGTTCTAGCATGCCCTTCGAGGCTCAGCTGGGGATCCCCTTCCTGGAAGGTCCTCTCTGGGTACATCCAGTGTGGTCCTGTTGATCTTTCTCTTCGAGCACCTGTGGAATTGTCTTACCCCAGCTTTATACCACCAACTTGGAGGCCAGTTTATTCACTTAGACAAGAGCTAAACCTGACTGATCACAGCCTGTCTGGAGGCACATCGTTCATTATACGTCATTCCAAGCATGAGGCTGAAGTGGGTTTCTGTTTACTCGGCTTTGTCTAAAGGTTCGTGTAAACTCTCATGCCTCCAAATAGCTGATGAAATGGTGAAGCACTGGTAGAGGAGCTGCCACTGATTTCCTTGTTGTTTTAGGAGTTTAGAGAAGCTTTTTATTAATCCGAACACTACCATTCCTAGTTTCGTAGCACGCATTTTTCCATCATGAGAAGTGCTGCTGTTTGTACATATCTTATACCTCTGCTGAGCCTTCCAGAGTCAGGGACAGTGTCTTAATCATTGATTGTGTTTCTGTTTGTCTTCAGTGTCTGATGCAGTCAACAAATTAGTGTCTATTCAGTAATGTGTTCTCATATTCATATTTTCTCTCTCTCACCATCCCCCCCTTTTTCTCTTTGGATTACTTTAAAATTTTAAATACATGACGTTGTCAGGTGTGATTACAGTTAGAGTAGGTATAATTTGGAAGAAGGACTGGTTTTCTCACATCCAAATTATTACTGCAGAGTGAAAAACAATCTGTGTATTATGCCGTCCATGTTCATTGTTGTTTGTAAATTACTAAGTTAAATTTTTTCTTTTCTTTTTTCCAGCCATCAAAAATAATGATTAATTTAGAAGATAATGTACAGTATGTGTCCATGAGAAGTAAGTTGATTCCTGAATAGGTTTTAGGTTTTGTGGTTTGAACTTTTATGATTTAAATGATTTATTTTTAAACGTGCATGAGTTGATGAGAAACTCAAAGAGAATGTATTGTTTGTACACTGAAAGGTAAAGCCTGGCGATTCCCGAGGCTGTGGCTGGGTGATGGCGCGCAGGCGCTGTTCTCTGCTGCGTTTCCCGGAGCGCTGGGAGCGGCCCAGGCTGCCTCAGCGGAAGCCAGGCCCAGGACAGGAAGCGGGAGGACAGCCCGCTGCCCTGCTGGTCTCCTTTGTTTTCCTTGGCTCTTCCTCTGATTCCTGCCGTGGGCCAGTGTTCAAGTCAGTTAAAGGGGGTAGAGTGCAAGTTGCCCCAGTTCCCTGTCTTCTGGAAATCCTTATGATGGATTGCCCCGCCCTCATTTTCCCTGCCTTTGGTCCTGTCTCATTTATGCAGTGCATCCCTGCCCATACAGAAATCTTAGTATCAACCCTTAATTTTTCCTCAGCACCTGCCACAGTCTTGGCATACTTAGTAATTAGGTTTTACCTAGGCAGTTCCTCCCTCTGCCCATACCATCAGCTTCACGTAATGTCTAACATTATTGAGCTCTCACCAGGCCTGGCCCTGTATTAAGCTCTTTGCAGGGACTGTCACAACCACCCTTCAAAATGTAGGTATGGATTGTTACTCATACGTTGTGGACGAGTAAACAGAGAGGGTAAGTGATGTGCTAAGTCTGGGCTCAGCCCCACGTGGCCTCTCTGACTTGAGCCCATAGTCCTAACCACTGTGCAAACTGCTGCTTGATGTTAGGTTCTCACTTCCCAGACCACGGGGGAGGGACCTGCTCCCAGGCTCCCCTATTCTGCTGCTGGTGTGATTTTCTTGGTACAGAAATGGACTGCGATGTCACTCAACCCGAGACTCCGCAGTGATGCTCTGTTACCTACAGAGAAAACCCTGGCTTCCCATTTATTTGGTCTTTCTTATTTGTGTTAAATTTATAAGCCACCTCATACCCTTAAAGAAACAAGGCAGTAGGGAATGGACAGACGGAAAGGCACGGCCCCTAAGGTCATCCCTCGCTTCACTTGGGCCAGCACTCTGCTGCTCACTGGCTGCTGAAGCTGCCCAGCCGTGGACTCCAGTACGCATGTCCTCAGACGAGCTCTGCCCTCTGGCTGCTGTGTCCTCGGCCTCACTGAGCCTGGCCCTGCTCAGAACGGGACAGCACCGTCCTGGTCATTTCTGTTCCCAGCACCGTCCCTTCAGCAGGCTTTCCCCGCTCCCCTCTCTGTACGGCTTCTTTCATCTTAAGTAACGGATACCTCTGCTAGCACTTACCTCGTGTAGTCAAGTTCTGTACTAGCCCACGGAAAGCCTTTAGTTTGATGATCTTTTTAATCATTATATCCCTTCGGCAACTATCATGTTTTGGTATTTAACTAATATCTGTTCTTTATAAAAGGACCAACATGAGAGGAAACCTATTCTGAGCTTATAAGACCATGTCTTATTAGTAATCTATTATGATTAAATACTTGATTTTAGAGAAGAGTGGAGGGTAGAGAGAAAGACATTGATACGAGAGAGAACATTGATTGGTGCCTCTTGTACATCCCCTAATGGGGATCGGACCCGCAACCTTTCAGTGGGGAACCACTCTCCAACTGAGCCGCACTGGCCAGGGCTAAATGCATGCTTTGTAAAGTTAGAATTTGTCGTTTGTAATCTTCCAAGGTTTGTTCTAGAATTGTGACTTTCTTCTGGCTATAATTTTTTAAAAGTTTAATTTCTTTTTAATCCTGTTTAATCTCAATTATAGAAATGGTCTGCACAAAGGAGACATCTATGTTATAAAATGAGTACTTTTGTTCTGGGATAACCACCAGTGGTCTTTCAGCTGCATGTGCCATTGCAGAGGTTCTGGATGAGGGCATTTCTGGCGAGAGATGGTGGGAATGTTTCCTTGGAAGCATACTGGCTGGTGTGCTATGGACGTAGAGAAAAAGAAAAATCATACACTCCACACTCAGACAGCTTAGTTATTTCTAACTTTATTTCCTCTGCACACCAAACCATAGGAACTTTTTTAAAGTATCTAATTGGGAAAGATGAAAAGAGTGATCATATTCTGTTCTGGCAAACTCTCAGACACTGCCTACGGTTGGTGGCATCCACAGCCTGAATAGCAGGGTTAGCAGAATGCAACATCCCTTTAAAAATGCTCTTCACTTAGCGGTTCACATCTTGTCCTTTACCTAAAGGAAAGAATTAGAGATGCATATAAAAATGTAGCTACAAGGAGAGTTATTGAAGTATTGTGTAAAAGGATCAAGTTATAGACAATCTTAATGTCCAGTGTTGAGGTAAGTAAGCGAATATTCCACATAGTTAAATATTATGCAGCCGTTAAGAAGTAAATATTATGCAGTCATAAATAGAAAATGCCTTTTTCCAGTTTTATTGAGAAATAATTGACAGGCATCACTGCATACGTTTAAGGTGTATGGCACAATGGTTTGATTTACCGATACTGTGAAATGATCACCACGGTAGGGTTAGTTAACATCCACCATCTCACATAGATACAATTAAAAGAAAAACATTTCTTCGTGTGTGAGAACTCTTAGGATCTGCTCCCTTAGCAGCTTTCTTGTGTGTCAGTCACACAGCAGTGGCGACCACAGATAGTCATTGTGCTGCAGGTCACCTTCGAGCAGAAATGCATTCGTTGACAAGTCAGGACATTCACAGTATCGAGCTAAAAACAGCATGTTAAAAAACAGTATGTTCCTGCCCAGCTGGTGTGGCTCAGTGGTTGACTGTCAGTCATCCCATGCACCAAGGGGTCACCACCGGTTCGATTCCCATTCAGGGCACATGCCCAGGTTGTGGGTCTGATCCCCAGTGGGGAGCATGCGGGATGTTCTCTCACATCGATGTTTCTCTCTCTCTCTCTCTCTCTCTCTCTCTCTCTCTCTCCCCCCCACCCCCCTAAAATCAATAAAGAAAAAACTATTTTTTTAAAAAGTATGTTTATATTTATTCTTAGAAACTGTATCCATATTGACACACTAGTATGTATGTGTGTGAAGGAGCAGAGCGTATATAAAACTAAAACAAAAACATCTTAGGTGGGTGAGTGAGGCATTACAGTTTTTTTCTCCTCGTTTGCTTATCTGTTGTTGTATAGGGCAGTGAGTATTGTAAAAAGTGGATGTGCCATTTTTCCACCATGTCTGTTATCATTGTCCTAATAGAAGTGTAATTTGAGCTCTTCCAAAAGCTTCATCAGAAACATTTGAAATATTTCAAAAAAGCCAAGTCTGCCTTCACATTATAAAGAATTCCATAACTTGAAGACCAAATGAGAAAATGAATTTAAAGAATCATTTCTGATTTTGTTCCTTAGAACGGTGTGGATACAGATGCAAATTCACCACTTTGATAAGGTGTGGTAGGCCTCTAAAAACTCACCTGTTCAGTGGAAGCAAGTCTGGAATACTCCCTTAAGGCTAACGTCTTTGTTTACCTGGGATAGGCTTGTTTTTATCCAGTTTGAGAAATCTGTTGCATAAAAATTAGTTTTGGTGTGGTCAGTGTATAGAATTTCTGTAAGTGTCTGTGCTTACTGATCATGAGGAAATAAATTATTTAGAAAGAATTGTTATTTAAAATCTTACAAACGGGTTTGTTTTGTTTCCCAGAAACTCTAAAAGTGAAGAGACCTCGTTTTGATGTATCACTGGTTTATTTAACACGGAAATTTATGGATCTTGTCAGAAATGCTCCTGGAGGTATTCTTGACTTAAACAAGGTTGCAACAAAACTGGGTGTGCGGAAACGGAGAGTGTACGACATCACCAACGTCTTAGACGGGATCGACCTGGTTGAAAAGAAGTCTAAGAACCACATTCGATGGATGTGAGTTGGCTTCAAACTTTTCATGGCTTTTTTTCCTTCTCATTAAGTGACAGTGCCACGCTTAAAACAAACTGGATATTAGCAATGTTTTCACAATAGAAAACAAGGTAAGATGTGACGTCTTGTTAGAAAAGGATTCTGTAACATTTTTTTACATTATCCCACAAAGTACTTAAATATTTTTTCCTACTTAAGAGTCATAGTAGGATATTATGGATAAGTTAAATGGAATATGATTAGTTTTAAGATACTTTTCAAAGTATTTCCTCCATTCCAATTGATTACTGGTATCGGGAAAATCAGTTAAGGTTGCAAAACAATGGTTCTCGCATAGTAGTGTAATAAACACTTGGAGGCCTCCTGCCCAGGGGTTGTGGTTCATCTTCCTGGGGGAAAGCAGGAGTCTGTCTCCTGTGATCATGATGCAGATAGGCTGTGGATCACACTTAGATACTCATAGCTCTGAAGGAGTGAAAGGTAGACTTCATGTCGAAAAGGCAATTGCTCAAGACTTACCCCGTGATGAGGAAGATCACGTGGAAGGAGGACCTTGGGATGCAATGTAGGTAGATGATGGCGTGGGGGTACATGCGTGCCCATGCACATAGAAGAAAGCTGGTCCGCTCACAGTATGCAGGTGCGTCTGCAACAGTTCCAGACAGTAAGACACAGCTCCAGCATGTAAGTACATAGAGACCTTTCATGCAAATGAAGCTACCAACAGAGATCATGGGATGACTCTAAGTAATTAAGTTAGTTATTAGAGGAAAGGGGTTATGGAGGAGGTCTTTTTCAATAGTACAGAGGTGCAGATTGAATTCTAATTTGGATGTGTTTACTAAATAGCATTAAACAATACTTGAGGGGTTGATATTAGATTGTATTCTGAATCACTAATGGGAATCAGGTTGAAAACTAGCAGGAAGAAGATTGCAACAGCCTCTTCTGTCTATTTTCATGAAGATTGAAGAAAAAATTAGTATCGATTGTTACTCAAGTCATATATTGGATTAGATCGTGGTAACTGAAGAAAATAAATCTTTTAAGAACAACGGCTCTAATCATTATATTCAGATAGAAGCAGATGTGATGTGCACAGTAGGGAAGAATGCAGACTCAGAACTCCAGCAGACGGACTGTCGCTCAGCCAGTGCTCCTGTTTTCACACACAGACTAAGGGACTGAAAGACTGTAACTTGTCACAAGTGCTGTATGCAGTAGGGCTGGGGCTTACCCTGGGGGTGATTGACTCAGGTCAGTGATCATTTCATAAATCTTTTCCTACCACTTTATCAAGTTTCCCTACTTAATTAGGCTTCATTAAGCTTTCACTACTCCTATTAACTTCCGTACAGTTATGTGTTTGTTTTAAGTCACGTGAAAGGGAATAGAAATGGGGATGAAAGCCAGTTTATGTATAGGAAGAATGATGGTAATCTAGAATAGTGGGAGGGCAGAAGTGAAGTCGAAGTCGTGTTTGTCTTCCTTGTGGGAAACACCTGATGTAGTAAACAACTGGGGACGTTTCAGTAACCTACTGTTCTGCAGTCTCCTGTATGTTATTGATGGTGATCTTTTTCTCTAATCCTTTTAAAGCGGGTCTGATCTGAGCGATTTTGGAGCAGTGCCCCAGCAGAAGAAGCTGCAGGAGGAACTTTCTGACTTATCAGCGATGGAGGAAGCTCTGGATGAGTTAATTAAGGATTGTGCTCAGCAGTTGTTTGAGTTAACAGATGACAAAGAAAATGAAAGATATCCTTTAACTCCGTACCTCTTGAACAGTCTTCGCCTTCCAGAGCAGATACCTTTAAATAGTAGTCAGCTTGAGGATTTAATTAACATAGTAAAGAAACAAAATTAGACTTTCAGAAGTTAAAGTAAGTAAAGGTTTAGTCGTGTAGCCTCAGACATACCCAGGTAACACATCATTGCCTTTATTTATTTATCCTCACCCGAGGACATTTTTCCATTTTTTTTGTTCAGACAGAGTGGGAGGGAGAGAGAGAAAGAGAAACATCGACGTGAAAGGGACACATCGAGTGGCTGCCACCTTCATGACCAGCCTGGGCCAGGGACAAACTGCAACCAAGGCACGTGCCCTTAGCGGGAACCAAACCCAGGTCTCTCTGGACCACAGGCCAATGCTCTAACCGCTGAGCCAAACCGGCCAGGGCTATCATAGCCTTTATTAGCTTCTCGGTATGGCAATTGTTCCAGTTAAATGCTACTTTGTGACCTAAGGAGTACAGTAACATACCAAGGTTGACATTTGCATTTGAAATTAAACTAGTAGAGCATATTATTCCTCATTTTTGTAGCCTGGCTACTATCATGAGGTGGTAAAATATTTGTTGGCTTTTGTGAAATTCGTATTTTCCCTTATTTGTTAATTACATTTTATTTCTGAAACAGAATTAATGGGCCATTGAAATGGCACTTAAATTGCTGCTCTAGGCCACAGAGCCTGAGGTAGCGAATGTCAGTACTGCCCTTAGCTTGTCTCTGCAGCTGGTCTAGGTCTCCCGGGCCATCTGCTGCTCGGTTCCCTTGCAGCACCTTTGGGAGGTGTCACCAACTCTGAGCTGTTCCATACTTCCAGTTTGCATAAACTCCTATCCCAGTAGTTACTAAAAGGAAAATAAATGCTAACATTACTCAGAAGGTCTGCGAAATTTTTAAAAACGGTTGGGGTAACCCAATAAAACACATAATTGTTTTAAGTTTAGACAACACAATAATCAAGTACAACAATTCAGTTAGTGAGTTGGATAAGAATTTTGGATCAGAAATCCCATGAATAGGTGTTAATCATGAAAGACTTATTCTCTAAGTTGTTTACTATTTACAGATGTTTTCCACCTGATTTTAGGGCATTCTTACCAAGACTCTGAATATTTTTCCCAGAGGTTCTCATAGTGAGATCTGGCAGTGAATGGGGTTGGGGGGGCAGGTTTGACACCTTTATGAATTGTGTTTGTGTTAGGAATTCAGACTTTATTAATATTTTTCTCCAGAAATTATCATCATAATCACAATAGTACAATTTAAAGAAACACTTTAAATTGAGTTATAAATATTGTAAAACACTATAAATCATGAAATAAGAATTGCGTGTGGAAATGTTTTTACCAGCTGCCCTCCTTGATTGATTGACTCCCATAAAAACTAAAGCTACTCTAACATGACCCTTGCATTCCTGTGTTACAAGAGCTAAGTTATCTCTTCAGAAAGCAGCCCTCTGCCTAGAGATCCTTGACTGGCTCTCACACTGGCGTATGTGACATACCAAGATATCCACAGCATCCAAGCCTTCCACGAACAGATTGTCATTGCAGTCAAAGCTCCAGCCGAAACCAGACTGGATGTTCCAGCTCCCAGAGAAGTAGGTAACCCTGCATTTGTAAGGTCTCAGGAGGGTGGTGGGCCGCCTGCGGAGGCTGTCCTTGCCTGCCGGCTCCTAACTTCAGGACCCTCGGCACTGGCCCTGCTCCAGGCGCCGCGCACGTGCTCACGCGTCTTAAATGACAGCAGGTGAAGTAATCACGGTGATTATCCTTAAACACCGGGAACCTGAAGCATAGAGAGATTAACCTCCTCATGGCCACAGTAAGAACCAGAATTCAGCCCCAGATGGTTTGGCTTCAGAGCGTGTTCTTAGTTGTAGTAGAATGTCTCTTGGAAGAATCACCAGGAACTGGCCTCAGTCTTGGAGTTCCAGAAGGAAGAGCTGCTGTCAGCCAGGACTCTAGGGAATTAGCTCACTAACCAAACTCAGAAAAGACTGGTGAATACACTGGTACACTAAATTATATATTAAAAATGAAAAGTAGCCCTGGCCGGGTGCTCACTGGTTAGAGCATCGGCCCGTGGACCGGGGAGTCTCGGGTTCGGTTCCTGCCAAGGGCACGTACTTCGGTTGTAGTTCATCCCTGACCCCGGTTGGGGTTGTGCAGGTAGCAACCAATTGATGTTTCTTTCTTCCTCCCTCCCTCCCGCTCTATCTGAAGATAAATGCAAAACTATATATCCTCAGGTGAGGATAAAAAAAAATGAAAAGTGCCCTGGCCGGTTTGGCTCAGCGGTTAGAGCGTCGGCCTGCGGTCCAGAGAGACCAGGGTTCAGTTTCCGCTAAGGGCATGTACCTCGGTTGCAGTTTGTCCCCGGCCCTGGTTGGTTGTGTGGGTGGCAACCACTCAGTGTGTCCCTTTCACGTCGATGTTTCTCTCTGTGTGTGTGTCTCTCTCTCTTCCTCTCTCCCTCCCACTCTATCTGAACAGAAAGTGGAGAAATGCCCTCGGGTGAGGATTAAAAAAAAAAAGAAAAGTAAAATTACTCTGTAAATGAAAATACTCTTACCAAGCTGCCAGCTGTTTAGCACACTTCTTTGTAGGAAAGTTTGTGTTGACAGATTATTGTTGTCAGAAGGTTGCTGGTGAGGGTGGAGTCAGACCAAGGAGTGTGGCCCCTCTTGAAGCAGACCATCAGCTCTGACAGCCCAATGGACCACTGGTGCTCATAGTGATGTCGCTGTCATTGCTTTGGGCTTTACCTCCCTCGTAGTGAAGTCTTGTCACCACCCACCTTCCCTTTATCCCCAGCAAACCACTGCCCAAGTGAGAGCCCATGTTTTACTTGACTGTCTTATAAATCAACTTAGAACAGCCTGCTTTTACTCCAGTCACACTCGAATTGTGACTTCTCGGTGTTTCCTAGTTGATTTTGATCTAGAGATAATACCAAGTATCCCAGGTAACATTTTGTTTGAGTCATTTCACAGGTATTTAAACTCTTTTTTAAAAAGTTAACCACTAGTCTTTTAGCACAGTTTCACTTTGGGACATGATAGTCCGTGCTGCAGTGACTGAAGGTTTGGGGATTTCCCTGTGCTGTGAGCTGCTGAAGACTGTAATTGCCCAATCTTGCCGAGCCTTTTGGTAATGCCCTAAACTTTTAAAAGCCAGTGCACCTGGACCTTCTGGGCAGCTCTTCTCGGCAGTGGGGAGAGGAAGTGGGGGTGCTGGGCAGGAGCATGTGCTGAGTGGAATCCAGCTCCACAGAGGTCTTTACGAGGTCCGAGGGTCTGCTGCCGGGGTGCACAGACTGGCCTCGGGTTGAATCTAACCTGCTGCTTTTCTGTGAACAATTCTGTTGGGACTCAGCCATGTGCCCATTTGTTTAGATACTGGTTCTGGCTACTTCTCCCTCTGACTGCAGAGTTGTGTAGTTGTGACGGATGGTGTGGCCTCGAAGCCAAAAGCATTTCCTGTCTCTGCAGAAGACGTTTGTCAGCCCTTGATTTCATCAGATATGAAGTTCTCAGCTGGCTGCCAGTTCTGAGAAGCATATCAGTTTCTTTTATTGCTTAGAAATATCATTTAAGTTGTCAGTGCTTACCATTTAAACCAGACCTGGCCTGGCACCTAGAAGCTGAGTGCAGATGTTCCCCAGCCCACCTGTCTGGTACCAGGAAGCTGTGGGCAGGATGACACGTGAGGTCTTGAGACTGGTTTGCTGCGTGTCGCTGAGCTCTGTTCCGAGATCCCAGCCAGGTGTGCAGCAGAGCGGGACTCAGGCTTACGTTCGAACTGCTCCCAATCAGAACAACAGGAATCACAACTGGAATGTTCCTAAGAATGTGGCATAGTTCTCCGTAGAGGCTCCCAGTTTCCTGATAGCTCGTGGAGTTTAGCATTTTAAATCTCACGAGGTCTATTTTGTCTTGTTCTCATCCTCTTTTCAAGTCCTTTCAGTCAGCTCTTCGGTGGTCTGGAAGTTGAAACACACCCTGATCACCTGGGACTACGGGGGCTTCTCGGTTTGTCTGTCATCAGAACACTGAGTTTGACCCACGTACAGATTCCCTGAAGGGTCAGTCAGCTCCAGAGGAGAGAAAGATGGGCTCTTCCGTACTGAGGTGTTCACATCATGCTCTGAAACCGTTATTTAGTGATGAAGTGGCTGTTTTTCACAATGGGAATTAGCCAGTGGGTTTAATGTGACTAAAGCTTAATACATGATTTTCTCAGATATATGATAGAAAAACTCTGAATTTACACTCTCAGAAACATCCTTTGAAACTTTTGCAGTTATAGTAAATGGGGAAAACGGTTCTGAACCGACTCGTTGATGCGACCTTTGCCCTGTCTTTGCTAGGACTCGATCACAGTGCACATACGGAGCACCAAGGGGCCCATCGACGTCTATCTGTGCGAAGTGGAGCAGGATCACTCAAGCAGTAAGGTGTCTGGAGGTGCAGGAGCCTCGTCGTCTAAAAGCAAACACCCGGAAAACCCTGATAAAGGTAAACACACCAATTTTGTGATCTGGGAAAATTTAAGATCCTGGTCATTTTATATCATACTTTTAAAAAATTGGGGGGGTGACATTACTTAATAAAATTATATGGGTTTCTTAAAAAAAAAAAAAAAAATTGAAGATACAAACAAGTGGAAGTATATACCGTGTTCATGGGTAGGAAGAATTAACATCATTAGATTCAACGAAATTCATGTCAAAAAGCCACGGGTGTAGTTCACAGAACTAGACTAAATACTCCAAAGGTTTATATGGAACTACAAAAGACCCTGAATAGCCACAGCAGTCTTGAGAAAGAAGAGCAGAGTAGCCCTGGCTAGTGTGGTGCAGTTGGTTGGAGCTTCGTTCCAGATGTCAAAAGGTGGCAGATTCGATTCCTGGTCAGGGCACATAACCAGATTGAGGATTTGATCCCTGGTTGGGGTATCTGCGGGAGGCAACTGATTGATGTTCCTCATACCAGTGTGCCCCCCTCTCCCTACTTTCGCTCTTATTTCTTCTCACTCAAATCAGTGGAAACGTGTCTTTGGGGAGGATTAAAAAACACTACCTGCCCTGGCCGGTTTTGCTCAGTGGTTAGAGCATCGGCCTGAGGACCAGTGAGTCACGGGTTCGAGTTCAGTCAAGGGCACATACCTCGGTTGCGATTCATCCCTGGCCCTGGTTGGGGTCGTGTGGAAGGCAGCCACTCATGTCCCTTTCATGTCGATGTTTCTTTCTCTCTCTCTCTCTCTCTCTCTCTCTCTCTCTCTCTCTCTTTCCCCCCCTCCCCCCCCACTCTAGCTGAACAAAAATGGAAGAAAAGACCTCGGATAAGGATAAAAAAAAAAACACTACCTGGTATCAAACTATACCACAAGGCTATAGTTATCAAAACAGTATCGTACTGGCATAAAAACAGACATATGGATCAATGGAACAGAATAGAAAGCCCAGAAATAAACCTAGCCTTTGTAGTCGATTATTATTTGACAAAGGAGATAAGAACGTACAGTGGGGTAAAGGTAGTGCAATAAACGATGTTGGGACAATTGGGCAGGTGTGCAAAAAAAGCGAAACAAGAGCAGCTTCTTACACCATACACAGAATGAACTCAAAATGGATAATAGACCTAAATGTTAGACTCAAACCATTAAAATCCTAGAAGAAAACATAAGTAGTAAAATCTCAGACATTTCTCATAGCAGTATTTTTTCTGATATGTCTCCTTGGGCATGGGACACAAAAGAAAAAAATAAACAAATGGGACTGCATCAAACTAAAAAGTGTTTGCACAGCAAAGGAAACCATCAAAGTGCAAAGACAGCCCAGCTAGTGTGGCTCAGCGGTTGAGCATACACCCATGGACCAAGAGGTCAGCAGTTCCATTCCTGGTTAGGGTACATGCCTGGTTTGTGAGCTCCATCGCCAGTGAGGGACGTGCAGGGGGCGGCCAATCAATATGTCTCTCCCTCTCCCTCTCTCTGAAAATCAATAAAAACCTTTTCTTTTTTTTTATGCAAAGACAACCCATTGAATAGGAGAACATATTCACCAATGAAACATCTGATAAGGGGTAATATCCTAAATTTATAAAGAATTTGTAAAATCGCCAAAAAATACAATGGGCAAAGGACATGAAGATATAATCGTTTTATAAGTATGTGTTACGGCCTTTAGATAGTTTTACTCTTCCTAGCCACAAATTACAAAGTAATTCTTAATATTGTTTCAAGTATTTCTGACAACTTTATAGTTAAACTTTCTTGTGGTTTTGATGAGTGAAAACTTAGAATTGTGGTTGACCCAGGCTGTAGCGGCTGGTGGAGGTGTCTGCTGGCAGAGAAGGCTGCCTGCCGTGTCTGATGGGTGCTCTCGGGCACAGGCTTGCCGTCCAGTTCATTCTTGGGACTTGGAACCTTAGCCTTATGCCATTGACATAAGAATATGGTTCTTGAGCAGGGTTCTTTCGTTTTTCAATGCAGTTGAATTGTGTGTTCTGTTACCTGGTTGCTTTTAAGCCCTCACTTAGAAGATTTTCTTCCACGTTTGTTATCTTTCAGAAGAAAACCCTCCACCACAGAGTGAAGAATTGCTTGCAGTGAGTAAGTGAGAGGATTTGAGAATCCGTGTTGAGTGTTTTTGGAGCATCCTGTGGATGATTACGCGTCAAGTTTGATCTCAGAGCAATAAATCACCGTGAAGTCCCCTCCTCAGCCAGTAGCAGCATTAAGCCAGTAGCGTCTGAGTAGTTCACTACTTAAATTCCTGGATTCTTATGGATCATTATGGTTTCTGCATTCGAGAACAAATTTTATACTTCACTGCTTTTTGTCAGTGAAATCGCTGTCCTGCCTACTGAAGTAACCCATCTCAGAGAGTATCACTGAAAGATGGTCAGGCCTAGAGTGGACAGTCCTTTGTGGACTCTGCCCTTCCTTCCAGGGTCATGTGTCGTCACAAGCGATTGCCTTATACGAGCTCGTGTCCGCAGTTAGCTGCAGCACACCGAAAGGGTGCACACACCGCCTAATGTGATGTTTCTGTATATTGTGTGATGTTTAGATTACTTGTGTGTGTCTAAGTGAATCTTCTCACTGTTGTATAGCCAAAGTAATGTATATATGGAAATTAATGGACAAATTCTCTAATTTCTGTGCTATCTGTAACTTATTAGAATCCTCTGAATGAGGGTTAGAGGCGAGTTTTTCCAAACTTCTACATGTAGAAGTATCTTACATATGCTATAACACACCTAAAGATCATGGGTTTAAAGAATCTCAGTATGAGTCCCATTGCTGGAATTGGATTTTAAGTGACCTACAGTTATTGTGTTCGAGCAGACCCGTGGCATGCCCCAAGCCTTTAGGGACAAGTGTAGAAATGTCACCAGGTAGTGGCTTAATTGAGTATAAGACATGCATTCAGTTGCGGTGTCAGTTGGAAATTATTTTAACCTTTTTGCCAGCAGGCTTTGTGATAAAGTTTCTGTGTGCAGCCTTGCTTTTCAGTCAAAGGGGTCACTTAGGAGTTAGTTGTACCCTGCCCTCTCTCCAGCTCTAGTCCCCTAGTCCCCATCTCCAAGCACCTAGCTAATTCTACCTCACTGGGTCAATCATGTACCGCTCTGTGCCTCCGTTCACTCAGTAAGTAATTTACCATTAGACTGTGAGCTCCCTAAGGGACTTCGTCTTAATCTTTGTTATGCCCAGAGCCTCGCATCATGCCTGGCACATAAAAAGTGCTCAACAAGTGTTTGAACAAATCAGCGAGTGAGTGAATTGTAAAATCAGACTAATACTCGGCTTGTCTACCATACAGGATTCTTGTGAGCATCATTCAGATTTATATTTTAAGTCTCTTGCTTTCAAAGAAAAATTTGAAGCAACTTGAAATTAAGATCATATATTAAAAGACTTAAAACAGGAATCAAAAATCAAAATACTGGAAAATAGCTCTGAGTGTTTGGGACTCCCATACCTCTGCGCTGCAGCAGCTTGGCCAGTCCGGTCCCTCTGCGGCGCCCGCCCCTCCCTGCGAGCGCCCGCCGGTCTCCCCAGCCTGGGATGCTGGCAGCGCTCCTCGCCGGGGCCCGCGGGAACCGAGACTGGGGCGGAGTGTGTGTAGACAGGTGCTCGATAAGATCTAGGATCTGCGGAGTAGAATTGGCAGTGTCTGTATGTGATGGCCAGACCAGGAGGGGATGCGGTCATCTTATGAGGTGTATGAGCAGGAGAGGCCCACAAACATCTGTGTTGAATAGGAAACAGGTAGGAAAGCCTTCCTGAGGAGGAATAATGCAGGGAGGGAGATAAAGAATGTAGTCCCCCAAAACCAACAGAGGAAGCATGGCCAAAGGTGATAGCATTGTTTTTGAGCAGCAGTTCCTTACTTGTGAAACGTGACAGATGTTCAGCTTTACAGCGTGGTCCGAGGGTAAAATGAGATCATGTGAACAAAGGTTCTTTGCAACCACAGACGTGTTCTATAAAGGAGCATTTCCTGTCACTCCGTCTTCTGGTGTCTGGTGTCTTCTTTTCACAGCTGCCTCAGCAGCCACGAACTAGCTCCCAGCTCTGTCCCCCATACCCTGACGTCACTGCCCATCCATCTCTGTGGTCTGTCCTTCCGTGTCACTAACCCCATTCAGAAACCTGGAGTGTCCCCATGTTTCCTTCAGGCTGATGTCCAGGCTCCCGATACAGAAGGCCTCCGGGCCTGCCCCAGCCTAGCTCTGCAATCTCGTGGCTCGTGCAAGCCCTCCAGCCAAACCACGCTGGCCAGGTCACGGTGCCTGAAACCCACGGCATTCCCCATCACTGTGCCTTTGCTGTCCTCCTGCCTGGAGTTGGCTTCTGCTTTCAAAACGATGTCCCCGTTCTGTACCCAGCTTGGAGCCGTCTTGCACCTCCAGCGTGCCTGCAGGCCACAGCTTTTGGTGGCCGACATCCACCCTCAGCTTGCTGGTCCATTTTCCTCCCTGGTATCACAAGCTCTCAGAGTATAAGGGCCACACCTCACAGGGGTTTACATTTCCCATGGTTTGGTGGCGGTCAGTCCGTTTTTGCTTGATAAGAAACGTGACCTGACTTCATTCAACCCAGTTACCAAGAATTTGGAAACAAAGCCCGACTTTTCAAAAACAGACCATCTGGCTTGGCCGGTGTGGCTCAGTGCTTGAGCATCAACCCATGCACCAAGAGGTCTCCGGTTCAATTCCCATTCAGGGCACATGCCCAGGTTGTGGGCCCAATCCCTTGTGGGGGGCATGCAGGAGGCTGCCGATTGATGTTCTCTCTTATCAATGTTTTTATCTCTCCCTCTCTAAAAATCAATAAAGAAAAATGTTTTAAAAGCAAACCAACTGAATTTGCACTAAAAGAAGAAAATGACGGTCCCAAGTTTGCACTTTGTGAGAAGTCACAGTACACGTGCCTAGCTGTCCCTCACCACAGCAGAGGAACACCTTTGTGGCCAGGAGGGAGGCTGTAGACTCAGCCGCACCCTCTTGTCCCTCCTGAACGCCTTGTTGGCTACCAGAGGAACGCGAGTCTAACAAGTCTGTGTGATGATTGCCATCTAGTGGAGAATTAACAATTACTTCGATTCCTCACCTGCTTTCAATGAAGCAGATGCTAGAGGAGCATTTTTTTTTTTTATTTCAGATCCCATACTCGATAAAGTAAATTGATGCCAATGTCTGCATATTAAAGTTTAAATGTAATAAGTCAGCACAATACCTGGCTGTGTCAAATTTCCTGTTCTCGCCATAATCTGGACTGCAGAGACCTTAACTGCCTTGGCACCCCTCACAACAGCACATCGGTCCTTGGACCTGGTGATCGGGAAGCAGCAAATCCCTTAGATGTTCTAGTAAGATGTGTGTGCCCAAAGTGGTAGACAAACCAGCTTTTTTTTTTTTTTTTACTCTTCATCCAAGGACATGTTTATTTTTGTTATTGACTTCAGAGAGGAAGGCAGAGGGAAAGAAAAACATCGATGTAAGAAATATTAATCAGTTGCCTCCCGTACACGCTCCAACTGGGGACTGAACTCACAACCTGGGGATGTGCCCTGACTGGGAATCGAACCTGCGACCCTTTGATGCACAGGATGATGCTCCAACCAACTGAGCCACACCAGCCAGGGCGACAAACCCACTCTTGATACCAAGTACCGTATCTGTCAGGGTCCAGTTAAGAAAGCCACAGGGGTGGATTTTACAACAGAATCGAGTTAACACAAGAAAGCAGAAGTAACAAGAGTGTACCAGATACTAATAATTCAGGAAGCAGGTACCACCCCAGGTTAAAATAGGGTTACCTTAACCTAGGAGCTCCGAGGAGGGTCCCTACACGAGTGCTGGAACCACTGGAAGGGCACGAGGCACCCACCGAATGGCTGGTGCCCAGACCTCAGGTATGACCTGCTGGTGTACACACCACTAAGGGGGTACAGGCTCTAGTGTGGGCTCTTCTGAGGTGTACAAGGGATGTTGGAAACCAGTGACGGGTGTGCTCTAGGCTGTCTTGATTAGTGGTTACACCAACGTATACAATTTCCAAAACCCACTGAACACATTTACGACCTGTGCATTTTAGTTATCATTAATAACTCAGTTTATTTTAAACCAGCGGCTCTCAGCCTTCCTAACGCCGCGACCCTTTAATGCAGCTCCTCATGTTGTGGTGACCCCCAACCATAACATTATTTTCGTTGCTACTTCATAACTTAATTTTGCTACTATTATGTCTTAGGTGACCCCTGTGAAAGGGTCGTTCAACCCCCAAAGGGGTCGCAACCCACCAGTTGAGAACCGCTGTTTTAAAAAATCTTTAGCCATACTACTATTTACAATTTACTCCAAAGAAATTGAAATACTTAGGTATACACTTGACAAAACACATACAGGATCTATATGCTGAAAATTACAAACTGCCAATGAAAAAATGATCTAAATCTATACTCTTCCTCAACGACAGGATCCGCACAGGATTCTACCCAGGCCACGCAGGGGATGAAGGCAGATGAGTTAGCCAGACCGCTTGGGAGGAGAGAAAGCAACACTGGGAGGCAGGCTCCTGAGGACATGAGTTTGGAGTCCGTGCCTTGAACTCATTTCTCATTCTGTAAAACATTTTTGCAGTTGCTATTTCTCAACCTCTGGTTGGCTTCAGTGGTAAAAGTAGGATAAATAAAAATGCTGGTGCTGGAAAAGATCAGACTTAAATATTGAACTGTTGCTCAGTTAAAACCCCTTTAAACGTTTCCGTCTAGCACGTGGTTGTTTTACAGTCACATAACTGGTGAGTGGCACTGCCTGGCTATTTATAACAAGGCAGTCTATTGCTTAGCGCTTGTCAGCTTGCGGAAGGAGCTGAACATCGTGTCCAGTCCTTTGCAAAATTCTTTCGGACCCTCTCATGAGAGCTTCAGTAGAGAATGTTATCACCCGCCAAAGTGGTTGTCTGTACACAGACTCATTTTATATTTAACTCTGGAAATATATTTACAGTCCTTTTAAAGAACCGTTTTTCTGTAACGCTGGGCTTAAATCGGTGCAAAAGAAAAATCGGGTGGTACGTAGACGTTATATCATGTTTGGGCCGTGACTAGTAGCAATTTCAGGCAACGCCTAGATTTGCTTTTATGACTCGTACTACATTTTATTAGTTATAGTTATTATCTACTTATAATAACTTCTTTTATTGAGCCCTCATTACATGACAGCCACTGAAGTAAGGAATATAAATAGCTGAATTTTCATATTATCTTGTCAGGTAGGTATCATTATCCTCGTTTTAGAAATGAGAAAACGGAGGCTTCAGAGGTTAAGGGACCTGCCTGCCCAGAGCCACACAGCCAGTCAATATGAGAACCAGGATTTGGACCCAAGACAGTGTGACTCACAGTCCCAGACACCCTTTAAAAACAAAGGAGACACCCGTGCTAGGCTACGTGGTTACTTATTATTTTATTCATTGATTTGAGAGAGAGAAACACTGATTTGTTATTCCACTGGCTTTTGCATTTACTGGCTGATTCTTGAACGGGCCCTGACGGGAGCATGAACCCACAATGTTGGTGTATCGGGACAACGCTCTAACTAACTGAGCTACCCCGCCAGGGCCGGGCTAAGTGGTTTAAGCATCTAGAATTCTTTGGGCTCTATACTGTAGCCACGAGAAAATGTCTTAATCTTTGAACAACTCTTCAGAAGTGGTGGCAAATACTAACTATCGAATCGTGATGACCATACTGCCTAGTTCCATTTCTTCTACCACCAATCAATTCTTTCTTCCTGTGACCAGTACGTGTGGGTATAAACACACAGTGTGGGGAGACCAGGTGAAAAGAGGCCATTGGATGGAGCGCAGGGCTGGTTTCTGAGTTCGGCCTTGCAGCCCCCTGACCAGGCTGTTCCAGGTGAACAGAGAAGCCTGGAACCACGGTGGTCATTCCCTGTCTCCTCGGAGCTGTATGGACACACACACACATATTCCAGGGCAACGATTCAGATCTTGATTTATATTCAATTAGGGGATTTGATTGGAGATATTTTCAGCAGACCGACCTAAAATAATGTCACGGCCCATCTGGAAAGTTATCATTGATGCTTTGAAATATGGCATTTTTACTTAACACTTCACATGGTGTCAAACAGTATTTCCAACATCTGATGAAAATATGCAGTACTGTAACTTTTTAAAAAGTTAAGGAAAGTGGGGCAAAGGGCAAATGGGTGTAGAAGAAATAAACCCGGGGAGAGGTCGGTATGCAGAACGCACGCGGTCAAGTGCGTGTCATTCACGGCATCTCATTATAAAAATAAACCAGCACAGCCCGCTTTTCCTAAAAATGTAGCTTCTTGCTCAAGAACCTCTATTTTTTTTAGCAGTGGAACTTCTTGTCCTTGTTCATACTCTGTTCTTTCTACCCTGCCTCAGGAAATAGTCCCTCATTTTTGCCCATTGTTTCTCTAATGGGCAACCTCCACAGCAATCTGAGACAGTGAAAAATTACGTGAGCTTTTCTAAGCAAGTGATCGGGGTCATTTGTCAAGCTGGTTTGGAACATCTGATGTGGGCAAGCTCATGTTTCCAATTTGGGATGCAGAGCCGGCAGGCAGCTGCGCAGAATTCTCACATCCGTTTGACGTCAGCGTCAGGGCTGCTGGGTCTTCAGCTCGCTGTGTAGGGTGGTGCCAAATGGATGAGTCGTCCCATGGAAAACAACTCACTTGGCATAGGTTGGCGAAGCTACAATTTGGCAGAGCTATCAGGACCTTTCTTCTAGAAATAGCTATTACCACTACACTAGTGGACAGATCCGAAAGGGAGAATGCCACGTTTCCACTGACTCCCTTTCCTGTGAAGATTGTGTGGGACACCCTACATGAAACCATGACTTCCCCAGTGCAAATGCCGATAGCGTTCTTTACACCAACAGTTTAAGTACATGAGTTGGCTATGATACCGTGACATTTAAATACCTCTGTACAGAACTGCAACATGGTTTAGATAAAACATGAAGTGTGGTGGTGTTCACTTTGTACCACTGTAAATATGAAAAGAAAGAGATACCCAGGCCGAGTGGTGGTGGGAGGAGTCTAAAATTCTAATACCAATGTTTGCTGAACTTTACGTCCAATGACATTTTTAAAACAAATAATTTTTTTAGAGAAGTTTTAAGTTTATAGCAAAAGTACACACAGCGTACAAAGTTCCCATATCCCCCTGCTCCTGCCCACAGTTCCTCCCATCACTGACATCTTGTATTAGTGCGGTATATCTGTTACAATGAATTATTATTGACTTAAGTCCGAAGGTTACATTAGGGTTCATTCTGTGTTATACTGTTCTGTGAGTTTTGACAAATGCATAGCGTCTTGTAGCCACCATTACAGTATCATACAGAATAGCTCCACCATCC